ACCCCCATCTTGTTGGTGGGATATCCAATGCACCAACATTGTTAAGTCTAAGATTGAAGCGTACAAATTATTTAAAAAATTTCCCAACTCTAAGAATTTAAAAAATTATCATATAATATGTAAAAGTACTAAAAACAACTTGCGTAAAATTAGGAATACTAGGTTTCGAGAGTTTTGTTCTTCTCTTGACATAAATTCCAACCCTAGAGTAGTCTGGCGCACTATCAAATCTTTTCAGAGGAATAAGCAGGCCTCCTTTTATAATTCAGAATTCTCTGAACGCAATCTCTCAAATATAAAGGACACTTTTCGGGATGTGGTTTCTTCTACTCCCCCATCGCCAGTCACCACACAGTTTTACTTTAAATTTTCAAATCCCAGGACCAGCTCTGAGGCGCGTCGCGCTCTGCCGACTGCAACTGGTTCCCTTGATTTTCTCACTAATGAAATTAATGCGTCCGAATTTGACACTAATCTCAAGTATATGTGTAAAAAGAAAACGGCTCCTGGACATGACCAATTAACGTGGGAGATTATCAAACATTTCTCTCCTTCTGTTCTCAGTTACATCAGACATCTTTTCAATGCTTTCTTTTTTGCCGGTAACATTCCAAATTCTTGGAAAAAATTTCAAATGATCTTCATTCCGAAGCCCAATGGCTCAGGATTTAGGCCAATATCACTTGCCTGCAATCTCATGAAGTTATTCGAGAAGATCCTACAGGGAAGGCTTGAGTGGTGGACGGAACGTTTTAATATCCTCCCCACCTTTCAAAGTGGTTTTCGTAGCGGTAAATCTTGTGCGCATAATATTTTATATCTCAAGAATTTTATACTCGAGGCTTTTAATAATAACGAAAAGGTGGATGCACTATTCCTCGATATCAAGGGAGCGTTCGATAGCGTCAACCCGGAAAAGTTAGGCTATATCCTCTTAGGTATGGGTCTTCCGGTAAGGATGTCGAATATTATTCTATCCTTCCTTACTAATAGGAAGATCTTCGGATATTATAATGGTGGACTCATTGGCGAGGGATCTACCTCAATAGGCCTTCCGCAAGGCTCGGTCCTGAGCCCTCTCTTATATAATATTTACTCTGCTGTAATACATCGTAACATGGAGCTTGACGTTAAAATACTATCCTATGCGGACGATATCGTTATCTTTTATAGGAATAAGTCCATAGCTAACATTTGTTTTAAATTAAACTATAACTTTTCTATCATTGGCCAAAACTTACAGGCACATGATTTATTGATTGCCCCTCAAAAAACTAAATTTTGTATTTTTGCAAAATCTTCCAGATTTCGAACTCTAAGTAGACTCTACAACAAAATTAAACAACCCATTGTACATCTAAATCAGTGTATCAATATTTCACCTATGGCTGTTTTCTTAGGTATTACATTCGATCATTCCTTATCTTGGAAACCACATATTACCTCCTTACTAAATATCTGTAATAAACGCCTTAACATTCTTAAAGCCATTACTGGTATTAAGTGGGGTTCTCACCCCCTCACGATTCTCTCTGTGTATAGGGGACTCATTCGCTCTCGATTATGGAGGACTAGTATTATATGACCTCCCTCCGGGCCGTACTATTCAGCTAGATAGAGTGCAATATGCCGCTCTCAGATGTGTACTTGGTCTTATGAGAACGACTCCTACCAATGTTCTTCTCGATCAAAATGCTGAATGGCCATTGGTTATTCGTCGCCTATTCTTAGCCACCAAGATCACCCTTTCTGGTCTTGTAGAACTGACTCCTAACTTTTCACACGAAATGAAGATCTCAGCCCCTCTTGAGTCGGATTGCACCAATGCTAATCCAGGTGATTCTCTAAACGCTCCTTCCATTTCCAATATACTTCGTTCACGTAAATCCTCCTTGCTATCTCCTTACTATCAAGAAATACATAACTTAGAACCTCCTAGATACCAGGGACATTTGAATTTTCCCGTAGCTAATAGATATATTGATATATCTACTGATACCATAGCGTTCTCAGAGTTGAGCAAATTTCACAAAAAAGTTGGGAATTTTTATTATTGCAAACATAAAAAAATCTCTGTCAGCGGGATGAATCGTAGGGCTGCTGCTATACTTGATCATAAAAACCTGAACTGTATTATTTATACTGACGGCTCTATATTGCCTGATGGCAGGGCTGGTTTCGGGGTTTTTTCCCCTACACATAATATTAAAGCATCTGTTCCCTGCCCTCGCTCCCGGGTTATAATGCATGTGGAAGCGGAGGCCATAATATATGCAATTGACCTTGCAATTGAGTTGCGCTCGAACAAAGTTGGCATATTGTCCGACTCCAGGAGTATCATATCCAATGTTTCCAACCTCAACACTTCCAAAAGAACTAGCTATCTCTGTCATAAAATCAGAGACAAGTTAATATCTGCTTCTCAATTGGACATTCATATAACATTAATCTGGATACCCGGACACCGTGGCTTCATAGGCAATGAGTCTGCCGATCAACTTGCGAAATCAGCAGCTCTCTCCTCACAGGACACATGTCACTCCAACATATATTGCGGGGATCTCATTGCTAATATTAAACATGATTTTCAAAAACTGGCTCATGCGTATCTTGAGGAGCAATTTAAATATAAAGGGCGGAGATACCGGGAAAACGTCCCGAACCTATCGAATTCCCCGTGGTACAAACAATATAAATTTTCTAAGAGAGACGCAATTTCTTTAATTGCCAGGATTAAATCCTACCATGTATCTACCAGTACACACTTGATAGATAAAAATATTATTAATGATGAAACGTGTGTATGCGGGGTCAGTCCAAGGAACTGGCAACATATTTTATTTAATTGCAACAGATATATACAAGCGTCCAACAATTTAATATCCAACCTCATTAAAATGGATTTTTCTCCGTGGGACGATATTTTTCTTAGAGCTTTTACTAAAGATCTTAACATATTTACAACTATTGCAAAGTTTCTGAAACAAACAAATCAAATAATTTAAACGGATATACAACATACGATGGCAGCACCTGTCTGAGCAATGGCGTTGGGGCATGAGTCACTGATACGCCTCTAGCCAAATATTGAAGGAAGGAAGGAAGTAAGCGTATCTTTTAGTGTCGTTTGAACTAAAAGGTGTGATAAAGTGGATATTGTCACATATAAAAAGTTTTGCAAAGCAATAATAAGAAATGGATAAGGATGAAATCAGGGTAAGTTAAGAAATAGCTTTACATCGAGTTTATTATATAATGTTGTAATGGCGTTTTGTTATATCTGATTCACTACTCAGGGCATGTCGATACAAAATTTTTTAAGGTTACATTTGTATATCAATAGAGTGTTCGTGTTGCTTGCAATGATCTCCTGAAAACGTCCCAAGGATATTCTGAGTATGTAAGAATGCCCTTAGAACGTTCTCAGTATGTATCCTAGATATCTGTGTTATTAGGATATATATAGTAATATTCTTAAATAACTAAACCTGCTTAAACAGATTCTGCGTAAAGCCTGTTAGCAGAATCTGTTGACTGGAAGGCAACAGATTGTATACAGAATCTGTTAATATAAATTCTAATGGTAAGTTGGTGGCAGATTTTGTGCAATGTTTGTCGACAAACTTTGACGATTGTAAAGATTGTAAGATTGAAAGATTGTACACAGAATCTGTAGTGATCTGACAAACTCTGACAACAGATTGGTGGTAGAAACCGAGCAGGCTATGCTGTGTGCAGAGCAATGCTGTCAGAGTCTGTTAACCAGTCCTGTCAGTAGTCTGACAGCAGGTTGGGGATGCAGATGTCTGTGGATCTGTCGACAGATCCTGTTTGAATCTGACAGATCTTATCGCCAATCTGACAGCAATCTGTGCACAGATTGTTTACTAGGATTATTAACAATAGAGTATATGTTGTATATATATTTCTTATTGATATTAAAATCTTATAAATACATTATCAAATTCGCTTTTCAGATCCTATTGATATTGAAGAAGAGATGATAACTACTAATACAAGTGAAGGCATTGCTACCACTTTAGCAGAAAGAAAGTACTTTATAATATAATAAGTAAGTACTTTATAATATAATATTTATTATTATGTTAACTAACATCAATCAATGTTTAAATACATAATTATGGATTAACATCTCATTGCAGATTCAAATAAGGGACAAAGCAGTATAGGATGCAATGATTGCTATGAAGAGATTAGAAATATGTTCTTAATAAACATTTCAGTCGAAACATTTAAGTAAACATTTAAGTAAAAAATACATAACTCATTACTTGCTTAGCAGCATAATTTTGTTTTGAAAATTATACAAAATATATTTTTACTATGTTATAAATACAGAAGAAGAAATGGAAAATAGATTGATAGTAACAAACAAAGGAAAGTTAAATGGAAAAGGTATTTATATTTTCAATTGGCATTGTTGTAAAGAATATTACAAAACGAAATATATATTTAAGTGTGTATACATTTAACATTTTTAAATAGACCTTTCGAGATCAGAAGAGGAGATGGAGATGACAACAAGTGAATATGACGAAAAAAATACTT